CTGGGCAGAACATCCATCAGTATGACTCAGTCATTCACTCAGTACATAAAACCACTTGTCCCACCGCTTAGCTAAAGAGGTTATGGCTTGTCATGCATGCAAAGAAGTTGTAAAATTTGTAGCGTTAGAAAAGTAGTCACCTTTTTGTACTAAGAAAAGCTGCCCTGTTATCAGCTTCATGGTAGTGAATTATTCCCTTAATCCAGTTCATTTTAAATGATTGCAGTTTGAAATCTTTATTGGAATATTAAAACCGTATGATAAACGGTCAAAATGAGGAACTTTCATGTGACGGTACACACAAACTAATGATAAGGTCATCCAGCAGCATGAAATTAACTACCTTTTCACTGTCATATCTAAACTCAATTGCCACGTTATCACGTACATACCACAGTTCTGACAAACTTTTCCTTCTGATGCCCAAACTGTTCAGTTTTTGTTTTGTTGCTTCATTTCAATCAAATAATGAAACATACATTGTTGTTTCTGAAATACCAAGGGCAGAAAATTGTTTTGCTTTCTGCACATACATGACAAACCTAGTTAACGGTAGGCAGTGTGGCGTGTCCCAGTTTGCACACTAGGCCATTTGCTGAAAGATAAAGGAACAGAGAATGCAGTTATTTTGAAGATGAAGTCGAAGCAGACCAAGGTCAAAGTGTGAACCTTTGTCCATCCTTTGAGCACCTCTACACCCAACATTTATTATTCATTCAGACCGTCAATTATTTGATCCTTCTCACCTCCCCTGGAGTGTTTGACTTAACTGATCAAGTGATGTGAGACCTGTCTAATCTTGCACTGGGCCTCAATTCCACTTTTGTGTTAAATCACCTGAAACTCTCTTACGCACACGTCATGCACTGCCAACAGCTTAACACTAAATACCAACATTATGTATGCGTGGCCAAAGGGGGGGGTGGAGTTGTGTGTGTGTTGGTGTGTTTGGGGACACCTTGACCACATTCCGGCATAAGGTTTCAGCTCATGAGCTGCTTTGCCAAAAACTGGGCCATTACTGGTCACTGTACACCAGACCTCAGTGACCCCTTAAAAAGCACACAATGACACATGTGCACTCTCTCTCACACAGACACACACACACACTTCAGAAACACAATCTACTCCTGGTGCAGACCTGGCTGGTCTTTCCTTACAGGTATCTCCTTCTGAATACAGCTACACTGTTCCAGGTGTGCCTGCATACATATGTAGGCATTATTTCGTTTGTTTGCATTGGAACAACACAAAAGCAGAGAAAAAACCTGTGATGCTCCTTTAGTTTATAATGAAACCTGTAGCCATCAACATAGAAATCACACTGGTAACCAGTTAAAATGGAGAAAAGTTGACTCAGCCTTTGTGTTGTATGGACCACACTGAGGACAGAGAAAAGAAGGAAGAGCAGAGAATTGGCTGAGGAGCTGAGAACCACAAAAGTAGAAAAGCCTGGACAGTCTCAAGGCTCCGAGTCCGTCTCCAGAGATCTGGCTGTTCCTGTGTCCACTGTGCACAACATTGTCACAAAGTTTACAGCCCATGGCGCCGTAGCTAATCTCTCTGGACGTGGACCAAAGAGGACAATCGATGACAGATTGTAACAAAGGATTGTTCTAATGGTGGATAAAGAACCTCGATCAACTTCCAGACAAATTCAAGCTGACCTGCAGGTACAGGGTGCAACAGTGTCAGCTCACTCTATTCGTCGTCATCTGAATGACAAGGGACGCTACGGTAGGAGACAGAGACCCCACTGTTGACACAGAGACATAAAAAAGTCAGACTGGAGTTTGCCAAAACTCCAGTCTGTCTCCAGTCTGGCTGGAAGCAACAATCCTTCTATGAGAATGTCCTGTGGACAGAAGAAACTAAAATAAAGCTTTTTGGTCGAGCACATCATTCTGCTGTTTTAAGAAAGTGAAATGAGGCCTTCAAAGAAAAGAACACAGCCCCTACAGTCAAAGTAGGGCCTAGTGTCAGAAAGCTGGGTCTCTGTCGGAGGTCATGGTCTTACAGCAGGACAATGACCCAGAGCAGACTTCAAAAAGCACCAGAAATGGTTTCAGAAAATGAGCTGGAGAGTTCTGAAGTGGCCAGCAATGAGTCCAGATCTAAACCCCTTAGACCTCCTATGGAGAGTTCTCAGAGCAGCAGCTGGGAGAAGGAGCCTTTCAAATCTGAGAGACCTGGAGCAGCTGGCAAAGGAAGAGTGGTCCAAAGTTCCAGTAGAGAGGACGAAGAAACTCACTGATGGTTACAGGAAGTGACTGATTTCTGTTATTTTGTCCAGAGGCTGTGCTACCAGTTATGTTACTCCATTTTTGGAGTTCTGTGTGGAATGTATCAGATTTATCGGGTTTGGTTTTTTTTCTCTATTTTTGTGTTGTTTTAATGCAAACCAAAGAAATAAACATGAGAATGCCAAAGAATGTGTGATTGCAACAATTTTCTGGCGTTATCTGACAGAAATGCAGGGGTGCTAATGTTTTTGGCCATGACTGTATGTGCAGGTTACGTGTGTGTTTATTTTTACTTCCAAGTTCAGCTGTTTTGTATTCTTCACATCTCTAAATGTAGGTTTATTTGTGCACGTGTGTGTGTGTTTTTCTCTCCAGGAGATCAGTTGTGACACAGAGCGAGGTGCCTGTGATGGACAGATGGAGCGTGAGACAAGCAAGGGATGTTGTGTCTTAAGCTTGTCGGCCAGTAAACCACAGACAGACTCTCATGAATTTACAAACACTAGTCCGACTGGAGATGGAAACCTGACTGTCTATGAAGCTTCATCATGGACATTGTGTGTCCCAAGGTAAAATTTTACGAGACCTTGTAAAATTACTAATGACATGCTATATATGTGTGTATATATATACAGTATAAGATTTTCACGTGACACAGTTGTGTAATTTTGTTGTATGAATCAGGTATTAATAAAACGCATGGCAGTTCCAGTACATAAATGTAGATTAATTGTAATAAAACAAGACTATGGAGAACATGGGACTAACAATTAAGGTTTTTAGAGGAAAGGATAAATAAATTACAATCTAAAGTATTTTTGTAAATTCAGGAGACCAACAAGTTACAGTGCTGGGAAACGAAACAACGGTGAGGGCAAAATGGTGGTTTTTATAGTGTCTAATTAAAGAGTAAAAAGGCAGTTTTCTAACTAACTATCTATCTGTCTGTCTGTCTGTCAATCAGTCAACCAAGCCGTGTTAGTCAGATTTACAGATTCAGCGTCTTACCTAATTATTATGGCCTGGTTGTGTTTGGCATCCATCATTTTGGAATAAGCAGCGTTTGCTATGGCAAACAAATGCCTGAAGGAGAAAGAATAGTGATATCAAGCATGTTTTTTTATTGCAGTTGAGCCAACAATAAGCTTAATACAAAACAAGATAATTGGTAACAATTTTAAACAACAGAAGAAACTCATTTTCACAAACTGATCTAGTCTGATGTACTGTAGTTTTAAAATCTGGGGATGCTGAGCTAGCATTCGGTGTGGCCATTTTCCTAGTGGTTGAGAGTGACCGTGACTTACGGCGGGTTCTCTCCCAGAGCATGACCCTTGTACAGCAGCACCACATCCGTTCCATAGATGTTGTACATCTTATAAGGGTTCACAGACACCAGAATACTACCTATGTAAGTCTGGAAAAAAGAGAAATGGGCATAGTCAAAAAAGAATGGAGATGGGTTTATAAAATTGCACATAAACTGATAATAGATTGATCTGAGTTTAGCTATGTGGCTGAATGTGTACAGGATGTGAGCCATGCTTACATAAATGAGCTGTCTCTGAAACCTTTTCCTCACGTTCATCAGAACGGTCTCTTCGTGCATGTCCCTGAACAGAAGCAATAAAGCAGTTTGGTTTTTTTTAAATATAAAACTCGCCACCACCCTGACCATTTTGCATGTTTGAGCTGTGATGAATTCAAAGTCGGTCTTTCCTTGCAAAAGGGCTTTGCCCATTCAGCTGATCGTTCTCTGGCCATGCCCCACCACTAGCCAATCCAGCTTCTAATTTATCCAGAGTCATCACCTCTCTGAAGCTTTAAATCCAGCTGTTGGTGTCCAAGGCTGCCCACTGAACATGTTGCAGAACCATTTTTCTCAGTGTCTATAATCTAATAATTGCCACTATGACTGAAATACGCAGTTTACTCCTTCAAAAATGATTTAAAAAAAAGGTAAAGTAATGGACTGCCATGGATTTTACTTTTATTTTACTGTTGCACTTGTCATGTTAGGCAAACCCATGAGTGAACTCAGGTGTGTGATATTTTACTTACTCCAGCTGTGTCATATCTTCCACTCCATCTTCCTCTCTTTGCTCCCGGTGACCCATCACGGACAGGCTTCTGATTGAGTAAATCTAAATCACGTACATATACATTGAAAATTGAGGACATGATGCATGTACATAGACCTCCATGCACTGGATTCATGCACACATTGCACACATTCACTCACAAGGAAATGGTGATTGTTTTTTAAAGTTGATTTTTAAAAGAGATCCCATTTGCCTGCCTCTCACTTTTTACCCGTTTTACCTTATTTGCTCCTTTTTTTTTTACCTAATCATAGATTCTGCTCTTTTAAAAACCATCAGCACATCACTGTGTGAGCATAAAGACTTTACAGGTTTGTAGTATAATGTGCAACCTCAGCTTATGTGGATATTTAAGGTGTCTGAGGTCGTATATGTTATTACCTTGTCAAACCAGTGCCCCTGTGGTTCCCCCTCCCTGCTGAGATTCCACTTCCCTGGTTTATGCCCCTGTTCATGTCCATGTCCCGTCAGGCTGTGGGGGTCCAGTAGCTCCCCATCTCTATACATGGACCACTTATTGAGGTTCTGCACTGTTCCATGTGGTAGAACC